CTTCAAGAACCATAAACCCTCTTGAAAAACTTGATTTACAACCCTATCTAAATGTTAAAGGAAATGGAGCCTTAGCCACACTTATAGGAAGACCATTGAGCTGAAGACAGCAATTCTGTAGGACAGACAACAGAAGCTGGTCAGAAGAACAGAGATGTTACAGGAGTTCCTACAAGAAGAGGTGGTCTTCCAAGTATGTTAATCCCAGCATCTTGAAGTCAACTTGGAAACAAAATGGCAGCCAGTGTAATAATCTCAAAATAGTGTGATATGATCAAAAAGCCTAGTTCCAAATAGCAATCTGGCTACTCCATTCTAAACTAATTGAAATTTCCATTTTGAAGTTTCCAGGCTGTCCCCTGCTAAGAACCCTTGAATGTGCTACAGGTGTTCTTAGTGGGGGAAGCCCTTGTGTGGGATGCATGACTTTGTGGATGATAGCATGCTAAAGAAGAAAAGTAGCTCCTCAATTCTGAGATTTATATATCCTCCCACATTTGGACTTGAAGCCAAGCTCAGCTCTTTACAGGAGAATCTAAAACATCACGACGGATAGCAGACAGTCTAAATGTATGCAAAGCACTTGAAGCTGCTGATGAAAGGGATCAAATGTAAAGACTGTTTAAAGTAAACGTGAGCATTTTTCAAATGTAATTCAGTTATTCCGCTAATTTAAAAATACCACTGAAGTGCAAAGGATCTCTTTAAATATTTCATCACAGAGAAGGCTACATGGCTCCTTAGACATTTCGGCCGTGCTGTTTAATGTCTGTGAAAATATATCACATGCAAAATGAAGGTAAGAGATGTCTTGCTGTCCACTCAGTTAATTTATAAGATACGATTAATTCCTGCAAGAGCAGCTTATCCTTCACTGATAATCAACATCTCAGAAGACAGAGCCTCAGATTTGGAACTGGAATGCTATTAGACAAACTGATGATTCATTTCACCTTAGTTTTAGCATTTCTAATGCCTGCGCTTGATTGGGGAGAACAACAGGGTCTTTAAAAACTTACCCATGTCTTATTTCTGAACTTATCAAGATGTGTGTGTATCAACACAATGCACAGATTATACAAGAGTAAAATTTACAGCCCAATTACGTGCGATGCCTGAGACTGAAGACTGGAGCAGTCTGCTTCATACTTCCCACCCATCTCTTTTCACTGATCTAAATCCTCTGCCCCTGGAGCTTCAGAGGAAGAAATATTGGTGTGGCTTCTGTACCTGTACTTTTATTAAAAACAATTGGGTAGCACTAATAGAAGCTTGGGAAGGGGACCATTTGGATGAAGAAGTATTAAATGCTCTAGCCCTGGGACCACGGCTAGAAACAGACTTAAAGCTCCCTGTATTTTAAAACAGGTAAAAGTGTTTAAAACTAAGATTAACTTCTAAAAAAAGCAGGAGGTTCAATCACAGATTTCCAGTGTCAGATGAGGGCTTAAATAACACTAAGTGCTATGTAGATTTACATTTTGAAAATAATTGGCTTAGACTATTTTTTCCATGTGCAGTTTTGCCAGAGCACCAGGGAAGTGGGTCTCTGCTGTTGAGCACAATTCTTCTGGCACTAGTCTCTTCTTCTTATGATAGACCACTGTCCCCAAAGTCCCTTGGGTGAGAGGAATCCATCCCCCCCCCCAACAGAGGACCCCCTCTGCAGTGTTTGGAGATAGGTGCATGTGAAGCAAAGACAGAAGATGTGAGCCAAATCCTCGAAACCTGCTACCACAATCCCTAAAAGTGACAAGATCCCTAACCTGCAAACAATTGAAATTATTGATATTGACATTCTAGAGTTTTGAGTGTGCCCACTTGAAGCAAAGTGACTGATTTTCAACATAAAGGACAAGTCAGTAAGTCAGAATGTTGACAGCTAAGAAGATCAGTTGCATTCCAGGCATGATCTGGTGACAATAAAAGCCTAAGGGAACCCATGGAGGGGACTTCCTCCCCCCCAAAATAAGCAAAGTTCTATGCATGGACTGCTGTTGTTAACTAGCTATCCAGCTCTATAGTACAGGCAATTCATCTTATAATGAGTACAATATCCTTGTGAGCTATTGGTATTTACAAAACAATAATCTTCACAGAATCATACAGTTGGAAGGTTCATCTAGTCCAACCCCCTACACAATGCAGAAAATTCACAAATATCTCCCCCCCACCCCCAGTGACCCCTGATCTATGCCCTGAAGAGGGCAAAAAACCCAACAACACCCTCCAGGATCCCGGGTCAAACTGGCCTGGAGAACAACACCAGGGCAGCATTTGTGCATGCTGGCCTCTATAGGGAAAGCTGCATCTGGTTACTACTAGAACCACGTGGAAGATTCAGGCACTGGGTGACAGGAAAAATGTGCCCCCCCCTCTTGCCTCCTATCCCCTGCCTCCCACCTAAGTGTCCCCAATGGCAGGAGAATTCAGCTGAAGCTCTGTGCCATTCAGACTGGATAGCTGATAGCTGCACTGGAATCTTCTCTACAGAACTATTACTGCGTGTCCAGGCTTACTCACTCTGCTGTTTGCATAATTTCCAATTTTTTTTTACTCCAAAGGTTACAACATTGTGATACATTAAATATGAGGCATTCCAGTCCCCCTTGTGCTATGTGAAGAAAGTCCAATAGATTCTTTTTCTTTCTTTCTTTTGACCCTGTTTTCTTCTGCCTTGCACGCTCGGAAGCAGAAAGGTGAGATATAAATGTTTCACATAAATAAATAAATTCTTTATTCTATATCCTAATGCCTCTATGGAAGCTGCAGGATTTAGCTCTGTTTATCTTTCTTTGGTACCGCTAGGTAATAAATCCAGTGGGCAAAGGTAATTTAAGTCATTCTTATTAAGCCATCAGATGACAGAAAAATTTCTCATCTCGGATTCAATAAAAATCCTTCTCCCTAATCCTTTTTTTTGTTCCTGAGAAGTGGATTTTTTTCTTGAGTGATTCACTGGAACCACACTGATTTAACTAATTTGTCTTGCATAGATATCTTCCCCATTCTATAGCTCTTTTTCTTCTTACTTTGCAGCCCCAGATCTCTAGAAAAGACTGGTACCCCAACAGTAATTTTATAAAAACGACTGATTTACACTTTTAGAGTGCCTTTCATTATTGCTTAAAAAAAGTATTAACAACAGCAATGATGAATTTGCTGCATTGTCAAAAGGCGCATTGTTAAGAAGTCTTTTAAAAATACACTTCTCTGTATCCTTCTAAAATACAAATAGATTTCCACTCCGTTGCCTTTCTATCCCTTTTGAAAAAGCTCTGCAGTGTGAAGTATAATGACACAGTACAATGATGTTTTATACAAATGAATTTAGGAGATTACGGTACTGTTGATGAATTCTCTAAAAAGGTTGGGTTTTTAATATGGAAAAGCAGTTGATGGCTTCTGCCTAGAACAGATAATCAGAAACACAGATACATTTCCCCAGCATCATACCCTTGCATGTCCAAGAATCAGAATCAAAGGACAAGGCAGTGCAGATGTTTTCTATGCGACAAACACTATACAATCTGGGATCATTTGAGAGCTCACACCTCTTTCTGATCCCGGACCCTCTTTCCACTGCCCCTGTCCTGACCATAATATATCACAGGCTTACAGTGTTTAGGGGGAAAGTGGTGGCCAGGAGAAAATCTTGCTTCTTCCTTTGACCACTGCCCCCCCATTCAGACTGATCGTCCTTACCGTAGTTCAGAAAATGGTCCTGAGGTTTTATCTATATACTAGTAGCCAATGCTCCCTCTAAGCTGTGGAGTCTTGTGAGCAAAAATTCTACTTTGTGAGTTACTGGCATTAAAGGAGAGCCAGTTTGGTGTAGTGGTTAAGTGTGCGGACTCTAATCTGGGAGAACCGGGTTTGATTCCCCACTCCTCCACTTGCACCTGCTGATGTGACCTTGGGTCAGTCACAAGCTCTGGCACAGCTGTCCTTGAAAAAGAGCAGTTTGTGTCAGAGTTCTCTCAGCCCCACCTACCTCACAGGGTGTCTGTTGTGGGGAGGGGAAGGGAAAGGCATTTGTACGCCGCTCTGAGACTCCAAGTGAAGGGTGGGGTATAAATCCAATCTCTTCTTCTTCTTCTAAAGTCATGAGTGAGCAATTTGGCTACTGCATAAATTAGTTTGCTCTGGAGCCATCCTTCCTGAGCTAAAACAAAAATCTATGAGCTGGAGGCTAAAAGACTATGAGCTAGCTCACACTAACTCAGCTTAGAGGGAACACTGCTAGTAGCTACGTGTGGCTGTGATCTGTGGGTAGCTAAATCCACTGACTGGGGCCACATGGAGGCTAGAGAGATTTTTCTGTGCACTTAAGGGGACTTCCCAGGTGTATAGAAAAATCTGAAATTTAAAAAAACCCTGAAATAAATCTAAAATAAATCTGAAATAAAAAATTAACAACACTCTCACCAAATGAGCAGCTGGAGGACGCCAGCAGCCAGGCCCAATGGCAGTGGAGGAGGCCAGCAGCCATGCCAGGCCCAGCCATGGAAGGTGATGGCAACCGCGCCAAGCTCAGTCATTGTGGAAAAAGACACCAGCAGCCACACAGGCATCAGCAGTGGCCACAGGGGACACCAGCAGCTGTGCTGGGCTTGGCCATGGAAACGGAAGACATCGGTGGCTGCATTGGGCTCAGCTGCGGTGGCGGAGAATGCAAGCCACCACCCTGGGCCTTGCAATAACAACGGGAGATCCTGAGCTGATTACTAGCTGCACCCACTTTTGCACTGGGAGGGTTATGGGATTTCCTCTGTGAGTTCTCACCGCCGCGAGTCTCCTCCCCCCACTGAGCCATGTGAGAAATTAGCAGTGATGGGTTAGGGATCTGCCCTGCGAGTATCACAGGTCCCACTTATACTTATTATAATATGTTTTTTGAAAGGCTTTCAGTGTTATCAGTGGGAGGAAAACAAAAAACCTGCATGATAAAGGTAATGCTCTTCATTGGATAAAGAAGGTTAAAGAATCGGAATACCTACCTAAACTGAATAGCACCAAAAATTTGAGACACACGAACTCTCGTAGATCAAACTGCAGAGATCGTAGTTTTGATACTAGCTCTTGTGCGTGACTCATAAGATTGTTGAGTGTGGCTCCCGCTTGTGATGCTATTACTGAGTAATCCACCTGTAAAAGAATACATATTTCTGTAGGGTCATCATAACCGGATACATTACTGCTATTATTTCACATCGTTGGTTAAATAGTTTATTTAGCCCTCTAATTATGCTCAGAGCCATCGTCTTGCTTACTCTGACTTCTGTTTCCTAGGTCTGCATCATTCCCATTTTACAGATTGGACATGGAGACAAACCAACCTGCCCACAGCTAATCAATGAATATTTGGCTGAGCAGGGAATGGAATCCAGGATTTTCCAGTTCATCTGCAGCACTAGATCCTTTGAAATACATGGGCCTTCATAGAACAGATTTCCACATGAAGCATAAAGTATAAATGGGTAAACAGATGTGTAATACTATTTTACCTTCGATCACATTTCAAAATACTTTTCTGGAGAATGAGCTCATACATTTAACTGTCTGTCACCAATAGTTTGTTAACATGTACGTGCTCATCACTTAGTGACTGAAACACCAGACAAATAGCGTTTACGACAGGGCGATCGGAGAACTTTCACCTCAGGCACAATTCTGTGGATCATTTACAAATTCAGTCCCACTAGACAAGACTCTTGGAGATATGGGACACTGCACACAATGTCTGACTTTAGAAATTTTTTTTCAAAGAAGAAAGTATCAAACTGGACCTCTGTGCAATCAAGTGTTCACACTGATTGCACAGCTCACACAATGTTACACTGTGTGGTGTGTATCATCATCATTATTATCCCCATATTGCAGACGGGGAGGGCAGGTTGAGAGAATAGTCACTTGTCTCAAGGCCAAACTAGCTGTGATAGAAGAATCCATGTGTATTTATTCAAGTGCCTACCTATTCATGCAGAAAGCAGGAATTGGGTATGTCTATTTTGATTGGAAAAAATAGAAGCTACATGTGAAAGGAGCTACATCCTTTCCCCTCTGCCACTTTACCTTAGTGCGCACCATTGCTTCAAATGTTTTACTCCTAGCCTGTTTGATAAAGATGCCAGAAGTAAGCTTGCCTTGACAGAAAAATGCTTTGAACAGTGGGGTACAGTAAGGTAAGGACAGGGAGGGGGTAGGGTTTAGTTCCCCTTACCTACATGCTCTGTTGACTGTAAGAAGTAAAACGCCCCATCTACTACTGCTTCCCATGTAATTAGCTTAGGGTTGCCAAGTCCCTCCTGGCAACCGGCAGGGGATGGGGGGACTTACCAGGAGAGGGAAGGAGGCCCAGCTGATATTGCAGCAACATGTCCATGTCACTTCCAGTGTGACCCAGAAGTACTGTCATCACGCAGTGACGTTGGGATGATGCTCTGGAATTTGGGCAAAAACTCTATGGCAAATTTGGTTTCTACCAGAGCATTGCCCCAATGTCACCATTATGATTACATCACTGCTGGTCATGTTGGAAGTGACATAGACATGTTGCTGAAACATCGACTGGGCCTCACTCTTTTTCTGGGTAAGTCCCCCCCCCCTCCAGCTAGCTGATCGGCAGTCTGGCTGTGGGGGGGACCCCTGCCTCCCCCGGGTGGTCCGGCAACCCTAAATTAGCTGGACATGTTAATAAAAAGATTTTGATGCCTCCATTATAGGTAGTTTGGCCCTATGACTACCTAGACCTATTTATGTATTAAAGTATTTATATCCTGCCTTTTCCTTGTGGCCTAGGTGGCTTACAATTCTAAATTAAAGCCATACATAATACAATAACACCCTCATAAGTCCCATTAAAAGTCCTAGCAAATAAAAAAGCCTTATACTGCCTCCTAAAAATTTCTAAAGAAAGCAAACCTTCTCAGGGAAGCTGTTTCACAAGGAGGGAGGCCACTATTGAGAAGGAAAAGGCTCTGGTAAATGAACGTGGGAAACTTTGGTCCTTTCCACACTGGGGTCTCATCCCTGGCTTTATCAGAGTTCAAGTTGTTACACAATACCTTGCATTTATCCCTGGTTATAAAAGCATCTGTTTATCCTGGGACAAGTGTGGGGCAAAACAGAGGTGACATCACTGTAATGTGGAAACAAAAAATACCCCAAGATAATTACAGAGGTGAACTTGAGTGTTGTGTAGAATGTAAAAATGTAATGCCCTCTACATGGGGCTGCCCTTGTCCCAAATTCGGAAGTTGCAGCTAGTGCAGAATGCGGCGGCCAGGCTGTTGTTGGGTCTCCCTATGCGGGAACACATCCAGCCTGCACTAGAAGCACTGCACTGGCTGCCTACAGTGTCCCAAATCCAGTTCAAGGTGCTGGTACTCACCTTTAAAGCCCTTTATGGCCAGGGACCTATGTATCTAAAGGACTGCCATTCCCCATATGCTCCCCAGCAAGCACTGCGATCGGGTTCCCAAAATCGCCTGGTCCTTCCAGGCCCCAGAGAAACCCGGCTTGCAACAAAGAGAGCCAGGGCCTTCTCAGTGGTGGCTCCATACTGGTGGAATGAGCTGCTGGAAGACACCAGGGCCCTGCAGGACCTCTTACAGTTTCTCAGGGCCTGTAAAACGGAGCTCTTCCACCGGGCTTTCGATTAAGGAGCTGCCCTTATCCACCTGAGGCCCTGGCCCCAATACCATCAATACCCTTCATAACATCAACAGTATTACCAACATCACTGAACAGCCTGTGCCCCACTGACATGACCCAGACCATGAGCCAAACTGACTGCTGGACTCCTGCCATGTTATAATGTCATTTCTAGCACTTTATGTATTGCTTTTAAGACTTAATTATTGTAATTTTACTTGAGAAATTGTTTTATCTGTTGTAATGACGTGAGCCACTCTGAGCCTGCTGTGGCGGTGAGGGTGGGACAGTAATAAAATAAAATAAATAAATAAATACACACTGAGATAATTACAGGGGTGAACTCGAGTGTAGCGTAGAATGTAAGTTTGGGGACAGGGATGAACCAGGATTTAAGGTCTAGTGCGGAATCACCCTTTAAGTGGACAACCAGAAGGTGACAGCTTGAAGATGATAAGTGATACACAGGGACATGTGGGGAGAGGCAGTCCTTCAGATATGTGGGTCTTAGGCACTGAAGGGCTTTAACGATCATAACTAGTATCTGAATTAAACTTGGAAGCACACTGGCAGTCAGAGTAGCTGTTTAAAAACAGGCAAGACGTGTCCCTGTTGGCTAGCCTCCGACAATAATCAGGCTGCCACATTCTGAACCAATTGCTGATTCTGGGCTGTCTTCAATGGCAGCTTCACATACAACACATTCCGGTAGTCCCAGGGCCAGATTATAACTGCATGGATTAGTGTGGCTAAATTGGCTGAGTCTAGAAGAAAGGGGAACGTTGATGAACTAGATGCAGCTGATAGAGAGCACTCTTGGGCACTATGCTTGTCAAACAGCATGGCTGGGTCCATCAATCGCAGTTGTTGGGGTTCCTTCTTTCACTATGCAGCAAACACATTTATTTTTATCACCAGGAAAACACTTAAGAGAAAGCTGCAGCCAATTCTTGATCTTTAAGGAGTACTTCCATTTTCATATTCACACTTTCCATTTTAGCTCTCCACTTTAAAGTGTAGATCTATACCTAAAAATGCTATCTGTGAAGAGCAGTTAGATTCAAGTCCAGTAGCACCATAGAGACCAACAAGAGTTTCAGGGTATAAAGCTCCCTTTGTCAGGGATGAAGCTTTTGTTGGTCTCTAAGATGCTACGGTGGCTCAAGTGGTTAAGACGCTGAACTGCAGGCTGGAAGGTTGGTAGTTCAGCAGTGTCATGCCGGCCACATGACCACGGAAACGTCTTCGGACAGCACTGGCTCTTCAGCTTTGAAACGGAGATGAGCAGCGCAACCCTAGAGTTGGATTCAACTGACTGCATGACTAAACACCAAGGCGCATGGAACGCTGTTACCTTCCCACTGAAGTGGTACCTATTTATCTACTTGCAATTTCTTGCTTTCGAACTGCTAGGTTGGCAGGAGCTGGAACTAGAGACGGGAGCTCACTCCATCATGCGGCAACTCGGGTCTCGAACTGCTGAACTACTGACCTTCCACAGCCTGTAGTTCAGTGTCTTAACCATGAAATACATATAAAGCATAAACATAAAACTGTTATTTCCAGGAATATTCTAAATCCAGTTGACCCATACATGATAGTTTGTTGTGAACAGATCTTGTGTTGTAGATATGGTTCTCCTTTTGAAAATTAGGAAACTAGCTGTGTGATCCTATACAAAGTTCCTCCAGTCTAAGCCCATTGAAAGCAACAGGCTTAAACTGGAGTAACTCTGTTCAGGATTGTACTGCATGGCAGGTAATTGTTTGCAGGGCAAGGTGCATAACCTTGCAGTACATCCTCTGCTTCCAGATTCCCTCTTATGGATCCACCTCAGATGTAATCATCTTTTCAATAAATAAAGACATTATGTGCTTGTAACTTAAGCAAACGATCTTTTAGGAACCTGCCATTTTACAACCCTCTCCGGATGGTTGCTAGCTTATTGTTATGAAAAAGTTTGATCATTGTAAAGACATCTCATTCACAGCCAGATTTTCCCTCTGTGATTTGCTGGAAATGTGAAGGGAGGGGAGCGCAAAACCCCCTTGGCGAAGTAACCAATCATAGTTTGTGCAAGGGAAGGGAACCCCCCCCCCCCACGATCCTCGCTTCATAATAATAAGTTAAGATGTTTGGATGAATCTCATGAATATCCTAGTCTCTTCAACTGCAATGATAACCTAATGGGAAACCCCAGTAGATAGATTCTCCCACCCGCCACTACCGAGGGCTCCCAGGCAACCAGCTCTTCTTTCAGATGCATTTAATATTTGCAGAGCCAGCAAATTTGTCTGGGAGGCAAGTCTTCATCTGCCACTCACCCAGAGCCGACTGTATTAAATTTTTATATTTATTGACATTTCATTACCATAATTGACTGCACTTGGTTCCCTAGAAGAAGGCACAGGGATGCCTCCTAAGCAGGAGAATTGGTCCCTTGAGTCAGATTTGCAATTAAAAACAAGGCAGAATGGATTTTTTTTATTGTG